AGCAACCTCAACTACTGGGCTCAAGCAATCCTCCTGCCCAGCCTCCCCAGTACTGGATTATGGCACATGCACATGCTATAATTTTTTCTCTATATATTAGTTGTCCAATTAATTCTTTCTATTTATAGTAGAGACGGGGTCTCACTCTTGCTCAGGCTGGTTTTGAACTCCTGAGCTCAAACGATCCACCTGCCTTGACCTCCCAGGGAGCTAGTATTACAGGCATGAGCCACCGCGCCCGGCCTTCTTTTGTTTCTATATTATCTACATTAATGTTCCTTTTTTTAAAAACAAAAAAATCGTGTCCAAGTAGGGGAGGGATGGGAATGAACAAGCTTAGGTCCTTCTTTACAAAGAAACACACAGAATCTGAATTATCCTTTAAAAATGGTAAAGTGATACACATCTTTCTTATAATTAGTCTTCTAATATGCATTTTAAAATAATGTAAATATACCACATTTCTTTTAACCACTTTGGGACCAGACTCGACTATAGTCGATAGCCACAGGTGAACGCGCACAGCGACTTTAGCTGACAGCTAAAGTGAATACTTTTTAATAAAATTGAAGACATTTGGGAGAGATACTTAGAATCAAACCAAGAGAAATTTCCTTAAAAAATTTAATATTTATAAAGTTCTATAACAAAAGGTTATATGATATGACTTTTCTAATTGTTGATTTATCAAAATAAAATTGTGAACATTTGAAAATAACGTAATGAAAACATATATGTATATGTTACCTATTCTGATTTACAAGTAAAGCTGCCTGTAAAGCAGAACAAGCTTCCAGTGCTTTAAAGCTCTCCTCATCACACAAGAGCAAAACGGGTTTGTCCTCAATGCACAGCACAGACTGTCGTGCGGACTGTGAGTGCCGCTGTGGGCGAGGTTTCGGGGCAGGTGAGCGTGGCCCCGAAGTGGTTACAAAGCTTGGCCTCCCGGGCTTCTGGCTTGCAGATCTGAGAGCAGCGAGTTACAAAGCTTGGCCTCCCGGGCTTCTGGCTTGCAGATCTGAGCAGCGAGTTACAGAGGGGACTTCCTGAGCAGCAGCTGCCGCGAGGAAGGTGGCGTCAGGCACCGGCTCTGGGCCTCCCGTGGAAAACCACTGGATGGGGAGGTCCAGGATGAAACGTAAGCCAAAAGCTTCTTTCTCTCTTCCAGCTGCTTGTCCGCTGCCGGACACAGGGCCTGGAGGAGCCCGCCCGCCCGTGGTGACGGTGGGGCCGGGACGTGCCGCACCTGAGCCAGGCGGGCGCTTCCTCAGCACCTGGCCGCGGAGGCCCCGCCTCTTCCTTGAAGTTTGACGCGGGAGGAGGCTGCATTTCGACACGCTCTTCTCCGCGAAGCCGATCGTCTGCAGCTCTCGGAGGGGTCAGCAGCTGCTGGCGAGAGTATATGATCTGACACTTCCTCAGTTCTTCCAAACAAGAGCGGTAGATTTTGAAGTTGCATTTGGACAGCTGCTACCCAGGGACTAGAAGCACTTCCGGTTTCTGTGTCCCGAAACAGACATCAGAGGCCGGCTCGAAGAAGACGGTGATGCCGGTCACGGCCACTAGAGGGGAGTGTGGACCCGGCCAGAGCTGAGCCGGGAAGAGAAGCCGGTATTGGGGCGGGGGGAACAGGGACACCGGGCTGCTAAAATGAGAGACGGAATCACAGGCCCTTCCTTGCCTTGCGCGCACACAGTGTGTCTGCAGCCAGCCTCGCTGGCTGGGCTGGTCATGGGAAAGATACATGAACTGGCATCAGTGGGCGTAGGAGTCTGCGCCAGGGTACAGGGGATAGGTGTCTTGTCCTGTTGTGCATACAACAGGCAGGGGTCCTCAAACTACGGCCCACTAGCCACATGCGGCCCACCCCAGGACATTTATCCAGCCCCCTGGGTGTTTTGCCGCTGCTGCCTGTCCTGCTTAGCAGCCGACTTGTCCTTGGCCCACAGTGCGCATGTGTGGAATGTGCGCCGCACTCTCCAATGGCTCTCCAATGGTCTGAGGGACAGTGAACTGGCCCCTGTTTAAAAAGCTCGAGGACTCCTGCCACAGGGGCTTAAACTGAAGGACTGTGGGTGATGATGCACCCTGTAGGTGGGACCGGGATGTGGCCCTGGCCAGCCTCCACCCTCCTCCTGCTGCACTATGGGCTTCCAGGGGGGGGGGAGGGTTTTTCTCACAGATGGTCCCTGGACCCTCAGCAGGTGCCCAGAAGGACTTCCTGTGCTCACCTTCCCTTCCCTGCTCCCCACAAGCCCTCACCCTTTAGCCTCCTCCTCCTCTGCCATGACAGCTCTTCCCATTCATCTCATTTTCCAAGGATTCACTCCCAACTGAAACAATCACATTTGCACCCCCAACAATCCCTCTGGCATCCTCCAAATCTGCAGCCTCAGGTGTTCAAAGTCTCCACCACCTGAGCTCTGCCAAGCAGAGGACCAGCAGAGGGAGATCAGGCTTGGGCTCAGTCTCGCCCCAGGCCCTAAAAGCTGAAATATTATCACCAATGCCTGCTGAGCCCAGGGGATAATTGCGCCATGATTATGCAATTGCAGGGGGCTATGTCCCCAGCCTCTGCCCATCTGGGCACAGGTAGGTCAGAACCTGAGGAGAGACATATACCCATATGCTTGAACCCTTTAGGGAGTGAGGGGCTCTCCCAAATTGCATCCCTTTTTCCTACCTGAGTTCCAAACCAACTGAGAGGTAGGCAAAAAGGGGAGACAGATGGGGATCAAAATACCAGTTTTATTCTGACAAAAGCTGCAGTGGGGAGTGTGGCTTGGATGTGTGGCAATAAAGGCATCACGAATACCGAAGCCTAGAATTGGGCTTATCCACATGGCCTCAGGCTGCTCCAACCAACCACCCCTCACCCCACCCCCACACAGGTCCCCGTCCCTGTGCTCCTGAGCTAGGAGGAGCCAGCAGAGTCCTGGTGCCTGCAGACAGGATGACTCCAGAGAGACTCAACAAGAGGCAGACAGTCCCATTACTCAAGGCCCCCAGTCAGAGAAGTCTCCCCTATGAGACAGGAGGGGTCAGGGAGAGACCCGGCATGCGGCCCTGAGTGGTGTGCGGCTCCTAGGAGACACTGCAGCAGGACTGAGTGCTCCCCTGAAGGTCCCAGGCTCCTGCTCTTCACTCCCCATTTCTACCCCCTGGAGGGTAGCCAGGTTCTCCATCCTCATGTCCCAGTGGGTGCTGTCACTGCACCTGCAGCTGCCTCCTGTCTTGAACCCTCCAGTCCAGGATGCTGACTATCTTAGTCATTGCAGAGATGCAGCTCTGGTCGCCACAGGGTTCCTCCCTACTTGGGGAATCACCCCCACTTCTGAAGTCTGAACCGAAACTGCTCTTCCTGAAACTTGCAAAGCCCATCACCTTGCCGGGTCCCCTGTCGTGTCCTTCCTGTATGACTCCTGCTGCTGTGTTTTCCAGGCTCCAGTAACACGAGCTGCTTCTGTGACAGCAGAAAGGTTCCCTGTTGCCACTGCTCCTTACAGCTACAGAAAATGCCCCAGGAGTTGTACCACTTCCTTCCCATCAGTCCAGCAGGATTTTAGAAGTTCATTCTGCTTCTTAATTGGATCCCTTCCCTTTCCCAATCCCAGTGGGTCTGACACTGTTGTCTGGATCAAAGAAACTTTGCTTTCTCCACAAAGACCTACAGGTTCTTCATAAACTGTCATTGCTTTTGCAGAGTGTGGTGTGTGCTCAGCTTTCTCTACCCCCATCTGCATAAATGTCCCCTTCCCTGCTGCCAGGGACAGCACCGGCATGGGAGTGTCCACCTGAGAAGGTCACCCTGTGTATTGCCCTGCCTAGCCCGCTGCCCATTGTCCTGGAATTGCAGGTGCTGACCTTAGCAGACCCTGAGCAGCACCTGGGAAAATCTGGCACATTTCTTCAGTGGTGGCTCAGCTGTGGCCTGGGCCTGCCTGCTGCCTAGGGACAAGAGCAGAGAGAGAGGGACGCCACAGCAGGCTGGTCCGGTCTGTGCCTGGCCTAGTTGGGGCCACGGTGCCATGGGGAGGCTGGGAGCAGACGGCAGCTGTGCCCAACAGAGGCTCAGCTCACCAGCTCCTCTGCCCACAGTAGGGGGTTGGGGACAGAGACAGAGAGAGAGAGACTTGAGGGTGTGCAGCACCTGGTAGGCACAGGGACCCTGCACTCTGGAGAAGATGTCCTCATCAGTGTCCGGGAGTCTGTCCCAAGCAGACTGGTGCTCACGTGCTCCTTTGGGGACAGAGAGAGCAGACGTGGACGAGGGTGGAAACCCCCTCTCCCACATTGTCACGTGTGACCGACAGTCACCCTGTCCACAGCTGGAGGGGGCGGATTCAGTGGGAGCCGATGTGGAAAACATCCCTGGAGCCCTGTCCCCCGGCCCCGAATCCCGCCTGCCCCCCCTGCTCCCCGGCCCTGGATCCCAAGGCCCGGCCGCGGCTCCCGTCTCCGCCTTGGCTGCTGGGCGGACGCGGGCGTCGTCAAGGTCGCTGCGCACCCTGTGCGGACCGAGGGCTCAGAACCGAACGAACCGTCTGGCAGTGACGCAGCTCCGAGGCTAAGTGCCCCGGCCGGTCACCTGCCCGTTCCTTCTGGATCACCTGGCTCCCACCTCCAGCTCCCTCAACGAGAGCGTTCGCCCTCTCAGGTCCCGGTGACTTCCTCGAAGCTCAGGCGTCTCTCCTTCACCCCGGGGTTGTAGCAGCCCCGCAGTCAACGCGCCTTCAACCCTCGCGCCTACGACGTCAGCCGCTGCACACTTGGCTCCAGCCTCCGCCCCAGCGCGCCCTCCCGCGTCCGATGCCGCGTCTCGCTCTCGCCAGCCGTGTGCGCATGCGCAGACCTGACTCGGCCGTCCGGGCTCTGCCACGGGCCTGGGAGAGAGTCGAAGTGTCTGGCTTTCCCTCCAGCCTGTCCCCACCAGCCTTCTCAGCAAGGGAAGAGGAAACATGGAGTTTACCCCTACTCCCAGTAAACCGTGCTGCCCTCTGGAGGGCGGAAGCAGCTGAGGGCAATTGGGTTCGAGTGGATGTTTTTTCTGTCCTTTGCACAAACACGTGGGCTCCTGGGAGCTTCCCTTGCTTGTCCTGGGGTCCTCCTTCCTGGTCCTCCAGGCCTTGCCCAGGGCCTCTCCCCGTCCCTCTGCCACATTTCAGGAAGCTGAGAATGGCTTGGAGTGAAGGGGGAGACACAGTGTCCACAGCACGTCACAAGTTGAATAAATACTTTCACTTCTCATTTCCCCATTTGGGCGGAGCCGTCCCTGGGTACACCAGCCTATTGGCCGATATTTTGCTCAGAGCCCGGGCTGTTACCCTGGACCCAGGCCAGGCAGAGTGCAGGGATCGGAGGCCAGGCCCTGAGGAGGCGAGGGCCACGACCTGAGCACCAGGTGAGTCTTTATCTCCCCCTTTATCTCTGGCAGTATTTCGGCTTTCGTGCCTTTAGTCCAGTTCCTGTCTAAAGCTTTACTTGAGTTTAGTCCTGCTTTGCAAAGACACAGGTATGCAATACAATGAAATCAGAGTACGGCATGAGGACACTGTTTTTGAAACTGCAGCAGGACGGTTCTTGGTGTGACTCCAAGTTGCCGTAACACACATGATTTCCTGTTTGCAGCTGCTGCTCAGCAGGCCAGGACTCAGAACACGAGAGTCTTTGAAGCAGGGATGTGATATTTCCCCATGACCTTTCAACTCTCTCCTGTCCCCCTGCCTTCTTCTACCTTCACATAAGTGATGTCGAACAAGTACTTTGGCTTGGGGTCTGAGTTCTTCCTCCTTGATCTTTGTCAGAAGAAGGGGAAAAAAAGAGAAAGGCCCAGGACGGCAAAAGACTAGTGCAGGCTGAATATTTTTATTTTCACTTTAATTTCCTGTTCCAGGATGGCAGATACTTCTGCAAAGAAAAGAGATAGAAATCCTATCTTTTTCTAGTAATGGGTTCAGAAATAACACTGCTTAATTTTTTAATTTAAACATTTTTAACCCCAAAGAAACACATTATATATGGTTGTTCATAAAGCTTCAAACAACATAGAGGTTCATAGAGGAAAACATTCTCTTCACTACTGGACCCCCACCCCCAGTAGCTTCCCCTCCTGGTCTCATCAAGAGTCTTGAGTTCAGCCTTCCTTGTTTTTTTCTATGCATTTACCTATATACAGTGTGTTTTCATAAATACAAAATTTGTGTTCCAGTCTTGTAATAAATGGAATTATATTGCACATGTTGTTCTACATTTTCTCTTATCTTAATAGTGGAAATCTTAGACATCTTTTCACCTTAATACATATAGACCTACCCCACTTTTTTAACAGTGACATGCCATTCCATAGAATTGATGTACCAAATTTTTTTAACCCTTTCCCAATTGAAGGACATTCAGGTTATTTCCAAGTGTTCACTTTTACCAACAATCTGTAATAACAGTGATTATTTCTTTTTGTTTTTTGTTTTTGCATATATACAAGTATTTAACTTGTGTCAAAATCTAAATAAGTGGAATTATTGAGGCAATGGGTGCTAATAGTTACTTGCTTATAGATCCTGCCAAATTGCCTTTCTTTTTTTTTTAATTCAGAAGAGTATTTAATGATTGAGAAATGTCTTATATATCATGATTTACACATATAATTAAACTAATAATTTTCCAGGATTTCATCAAATATTTGGACATTGAGAAAGAATTAAAATTTTGGAATTATAAGATTTTGGATTTGCAAGAATATCCAATTCTGATAGTCAATCGTAGCTTTCAAAACAGGATTCTGCTACTTATCTAGGACTCTAAGGAAGGAAAGACTAACAGTTTGTGGAATCCAAGCAGAATATGATTAAAAGAAGTCATATGATGTATAGCAACACATCAGAAAGGTCAGCATTGGCCATAGTGCTTGTGAGTAATTTTACCTTTACTGCGTTCGTGTGCAGCACAGAAACGACAGTTGTTAACATAGGTTTGACCATGGGATGCACAGAGTAGATAATATTTGCTGGGGCAATCAACTGTACCATTTCTCTTACACCAATTCAAGAGCTTCTGCTCCTTTTTTCTATACATGCCAGTTTCAGAATGAAGAACAAGGGTCAAGATGATGGAAACAACTTTGATCCATAACGAGAATACAGACATTTGAGCGAGTCTGTGGAGGAAAATCCTCACAGAGAGGGATAACAAGTCTGGAGAAACAACAGCTCTGGGGACTGGGAGATCTTGTTCACCTTTCTGCCACAGCCCCAAATTGCCTTTCTAAGTGGCTGAAGCAATGTACTTTTCTTCCAATAGCAAATAAGATGGATGAGCCATATCCTCACATCCAGCCAGATTTTACAAAGCTGATGGATAAAGAGTTGCGTCCTCATTTAATTTGTATTTTCCTGATTATGTGGGAAGTTGAACAGTTTTTTATGTTTATTGGCCATTTAAATTCTCTCTTCTATGAATCATTCATTTATTTTTTGCCAGTGTTATTCAGTTGAGCTGTTTGTCCTTTTTTTCATGATATGAGGGAGTTCTCTAAATATTTCAGTAAGTATAAAAATACTTTTCTTGTCCTTTAACTGTAGGGTGACTTTTACCTTATTAAGGCTTAAAAGTTGAGGTATACACCTATCATGGTATTGATTTTGTAAGATAGATGCATGATCATTGTTAGAAATAAAGTCCTGGGGAAAGTTACTGACAAATTTCATGATCACTGCCAGGTTTACGGTAGTCCTTGTGTTCTTCAAGGTGGCAGATTTGATTATACCTTTATTTCAGGAGAAGTTTCTTCAGTATCTGTGAAAATGTTTTCTATTTCCATTTTTAGGCCTAATTCTTCTTACATTGGTATGACTTTAGTCTTTACGGCTCTGATGTACTGCCTAGTGCTTTCATCTTTTCAATTTTGTACTTTGTGTTCATAATGGTTGTCTCAAACTTTTCCTCCATGATGATTATTTAATTTTGGGTAGGTTTTTGTTTCTTGTAATTTCTGATTTTAAAAAGAATTGATTGTGTTGCTTTTTGAGGGGTATCTTAATTTGTTTCTACAGCTCTGCACTCTTCACTTTAACCCATATTTTGTTAATTTACTATCTCATTTTCACATTCTTTTTAAATTTATTTTTATTTTTTATTCCAGCATATGGGGGTACAAATGTTTAGGTTATGTATATTGCCTTTGACCCACCTGAATCAGATCTTCAAACGTATCCATCCCCCAGACAGTGCACACCACACCCATTAGGTGTGAATATACTCACCCCCTCCTCCTCTCCCATCTGCCCAACACCTGATGAATGTTATTACTATGTGTGCACTTAAGCATTGATCAGTTAAAACCAATTTGATAGTGAGTACATGTGGTGCTTTGTTTTTCCATTCCTGGGATACTTCACTTGGTAGCATGTGTTCTTGCTTTATTTAGGTTTTGTGTGGTAGTAAGCACTGTGGTGACATTCTGCTTCTCTTCTTCAGATTGCAATTCTGTGCTCCTCTGTTCTCTCCTGTGCCTTCCCTGGCTTTACAGCCATTTCGCTGTGCTTCACCCCAAACTTCCCACTTGCTCAGTCGTAATCCGAGTGAATTTTTATTTTCATGTTTCCTACCTTGTCTGAGGCCAAACTGTTTCCCATCTGAGCTACAGTTTGAAGGCTCTGATTCTTAATGATATTTCTGAGGATGCAAGTAATTGATTAAACCGTCCTTTTCCCCACTGATTTGCAGTGTTACCCTTTTCCTTAACCAAGTTGCCATATAGGCAGGTGCTTTTCTGTGTTCTCTGTTCTCTGCCATTGGTCCGTGATTGCCTCTGCTTGTGCCAGAACTACACTGTCACAAAGGTGACAGCGTCCCAACAACTCCTGATACATGATGGAGAAAATCTTCTTCTCCTCTCCTTCCAAAGTGTCTCTTGGACCTTCGTGCTTCCAAATCAACTTCTTAAAAATCTTATTGTGATTTTGTATAGGATTGCATTGAGTCTATGGATCAATTTGAAGGGATTTGACATCTTTACAATATTATGTCTTCCATATCATGAATATGTTATATATTTATATATCTTACTAATTTAAAAATAGTTTCTAATAAAATTTCTATTTTTTTTTTTTTTTTGAGACAGAGTCTCGCTTTGTTGCCCAGGCTAGAGTGAGTGCCATGGCGTCAGCCTAGCTCACAGCAACCTCAAACTCCTGGGCTCAAGTAATCCTCCTGCTTCAGCCTCCTGAGTAGCTGGGACTACAGGCATGCACCACCATGCCTGGCTAATTTTTTCTATATATATTAGTTGTCCAATTAATTTCTTTCTCTTTATAGTAGAGACGGGGTCTCGCTCTTGCTCAGGTTGGTTTCAAACTCCTGAGCTCAAACCATCTGCCCGCCTCGGCCTCCCAGAGAGCTAGGATTACAGGCATGAGCCACAAAATTTCTATTTTTATGTTTGAAGGTTTTTGTACTTCTAGATTTCTTCATAGATATTTGATGTCTTTGTGCTTTTATAAACTACAGTAGTCCTTCCTTATCTGTGATTTTGTTTTCCATCATTTCAATTACTAGTGGTAAAGGTAGGTCCTAAAATATTCAATGGAACATTCCAGAAATAAACAATTTATAAGTTATAAATTGCATGCCATTCTGAGTAGTGTGATGAAATCTCATGTAGTCCCTCTCAGTCCCACCTGGGACATGACCCATTCCTTTGTCCAGCACCTCCACGCTGAAGATGCCATTCACCTGCCCATTAATCACTTAGAAGCTGCCTTGGTTATCAGATCAACTGTTGTGGTATCACAGTGCTGTGTTCAAGCAACTCTTATTTTACTTAATAATGGCCCTAAAGGAGGAGAGTGGTGCTGCTGGCAAGTTGGATATGCCATAGAGAAGCCGTAAATTGCTTCGTTTAAGTGAAAAAGTGAACACTCTAGAAACGATAAGGAAAGAAAAGAAAATTAATATGCTCAGGTTGCCTAAGAGCTACAGTATAATGTCATATTTTGAGAGAGAGACCACACTCACGTAGAAGGCACTATTTTACTATATTCTCTCTTATGTATGAATATGTATAGGTGACCCCTGTTCTGATCTATGGTTCTATTTTTTATTTGTTTCAATACTGTAATGCTTTACTGTAAAATACTTTTACTATAAAATCATAAATTTATGATTTTATATATAATGTTCTGTAACGTATCTTTCTGGAATTCAATTGAGAGACATTGAATAAAAAGTTAAATTTAGGAAGAATTTACATCTTAAAGAAGTCTGAATGATCCCAGCTATAAACATGTATGTCTCTTCATTTATTCAAGTGTTCAAGTATTTGAATTTCTATAGTAATGTTTAATGGGTCCTGTGGTATTCTTTTTTTTTTTTTTTTTTTAGACAGAGTCTCACTTTGTTGCCCAG